ACAAGAGTCTATCCAAGTCCAACAGCGGAAATTGTAGCCAAAGCAGGATCAAGAGCCAGGAAGAATCGTTGCCAGAGTCGGGATCAGGAGCCAGGAAAAATCATCACCAGAGCCGGGATCAGGAGCCAGGAAGAATCGTTACCAGAGCCGGGATCAGGAGCCAGGAAGAATGGTCACCAGAGCCGGGGTCAGAGGAAGCCAGGAGGAGTCTTAGCCAAAGCCGAGTCAGTATCCAGGAAAGCAAAGAGTAGCTAAACAGGATGCCAGCACATGGAGCAGCACAGCCCTGAGGAAAGGTAGGACCTTGACACCCTCCTTGTTGTTATTAGCGTAGAAACGAAGTGTGACCAGCAAAGGTACCCGTCATACTGGGCACACACCAGTTCTCTGAGATCACATCACAGATTTAAAAGAGAGGAAGCAGTGGACTCAGAATAAGAAGCCTTGTTTTATATTTCTAAATTATGAATGGATTTCAAAAGGTCATTAAGCTTTGATGTAACTTGCTGCTTACGGGTATTCCATTGGAAAAAAATCCCAGTAGCAGAGGAATCATTGGCGTAAAAGTAGTCAAGAAGCTGTTGGGTAAGCCGCACATTGTTACGCGGATTTAGAATAACCGCATTAATACTCCGCTAAACATACAATGATGAACAAGTATCTGACCAAGTGATATCATGTATGGATAAAGTGGACATCTGTTGTCAACTACATTTGTCAGCTACATTTGTCAACTACAAAGAGATCAATTTGAAAATAAAATAGATGCATGGAAGAAAAAGAAGGTAAAATCTCTCTCATCAGCATGTTGGCACCTCCACAAATTGTAGACATCTTCTTTATGGAGGTTGTCTCTGAGGGATGCAGATTGGCCTCTAGTCACCAAAGTGGAATCTTGACCTGGATTCCCAAGACACAGTTGCAGCCTTTTTGAACAGTTGTCGCACAGCTGATGAGAGTTTGGGGCATAGACATTGACTTCCTAATTCCTTTACACTAAAGAAAATGGAATGCTTAATTGCAATTAGCACACCCCTTTTCTATACTGGGGCATAGACAGAGAAGATGTGAGGATAGTCTCTGTGGGTGCACTTCCTGGCCGCACTGACCTGAATGTTGAGAATGTCTGCATGGTATTTACTGGTCTCCTGCCATATGGAGTGACATTTAGCTGGGTGGCTGAGGCAATTGACATTGAGGAATACAATTTTAAGTCCCATGTCTCGGATAAAGGGGAATAAGAACATAATGGGGTTGATTTATTAAAACCAGAGAGTGCACAATCTGGTGTAGCTCTGCAGTCAAACAATCAGCTTCCAAGTTTTTTGTCCAAGCTTAACTGAAAAAGCTGAAGTTAGAGGCTTATTGGCTACCATGCACAGTTGCACCTGCTTGTGCACTCCCCAGTTTTATTAAATCAACCCCAAAGACTCACCATGAACAGCAGATTGTCCACAGAATAATAAATGGGATATGGCGAGCAACTGTGAGAACAGTTTCATTTGAAGGGGTGTATAGGCAGAGAGACGTTGCTGGAAGATGTTTGATGGTGTAACAAACTGGCACTCCATCTGTGAAGAAGATGTCACAAGAGGCCTCAAGTAGAAAGAGGATTAGTTCCAACATGCAACAAATGAAACAAACGTTTAAGCCTCAAACAGTGTATACTGCAGCAATTAGTGGGGGTAAATAAGTAAAATGGAAGGTACTCATTCTCTGCCAGGGGATCTCCAGGGGTGTGCAGATAAGAAAAAAGTAGGGATTGTGAGCCTTGTCTAGTGGACAGTTGAGCAGCTTTTTTGTGGGAGACAACTTGCCATTCTGCGAAGAGCCTGGCAGTGATTGAGGGATGGTTGTCAGCTTTTGGAGAGTCGGAGACAATGTTCCACTGGTATAAGAGGTGCATGCCATCCTCCAGGGCGGTAATAGAGATGGTGGAGCCAAGATGTGTAATAACATGTTTTGCAGGATACTCCCACTCCCACATAATCTTATGGTTTCTCAGGGCCTTCATGATGGTCAGAAGGTTTTCGTGTTGCTGCAACATGTGCTGAGGGAGATTCGGGAGCACTTGCAGTTTGGATGCTTGCTCTGGTCCAGTTTACAGAAAGTTTCAAGTAGTCTTTCCTTTACTTGGAAGGCAAGTAGGAGTGTTTAGGCACTTGGTGGATCCTATCGATGGTTAAGTGAGTAAGGGATGAGATGACTACCAAAAAGAGATCTCGTACAAAGTGAGGTATTTGTGAGGATGACCTTGACTCCGAGATACCCCACATTTTTAAATTGTTTCTCTGGGATCTGTCTGTCAAGTCCTCTAGTTTTGCTTTAATCCAGGTAAGATCCTCCTTTTGTGCTGCATGGGGATCCACTAATGTAATGAAAGTGGAAGTGAACTCACATATTTTGTCTTACATGTGGTATTCGTGCATACCAGTCAGAGTGTAAAGATGCACTAAGAGACAGCAGAATATCTTTCATTGTGGTGTCTGAGACAGGCTGATTGGAAGTTGGAAAGTCTGTAATAGGATCTGACTGTGAACGGTCTGCTGGCAGCTGATTTGAGGAGAGCTTACCTCTGTACATTACTGCATCCTGTTCCTCTGGTATGTCCCAGAGGGGTTTCGATTTCGTGTAAGAACAAAGCCGCCACTAGAGTACCAGCGGCAGTCTGTGCAGTGTGGGTCCCACTGCCATTTTGTGGTAGCCTCTTCAGTACCATTGGGGGAAAAAAATAATTTTTTGTGGTTGTGGAGCTTGTTTTTGGCACCTCGGCATAGCGCAGTCTGTGGGCACACTGGGGCAGAGAGGCTGTGGATGGCGGTGCTGAAGTCTCTGATTTTAAAGAAGTTCCCCTATGGCCGAGTATAGCTCCTGAATTACGCGCACATCGTGCCGAGCAGTCCCCACACCCCTGATTCTTCTGATCTTTGACATAAATCAGTCATACCCAGTTCAGAGTATTTTGGGTGTATAGGTCTCGTCCTCTACTGAGCTTGTAGATGAAATGACTAGAGACTCCCTTTATAGGCTCAGTGAAGTGACAGTTCCCTCATACTGATGTATAAGAAAGAAAGTGCTGTGCTTTCTCTTTAAATGTGCAAATAATCATCAAAATCCACAAAATAGAAAATAAACAGGTAGTATAAATAAAGTGTATAGCAAACTGTACAAAAATAAAAAGTCCTTTGATTGTACTACATACCAATACACAATAGATATCCATATAGCTCCAGTGTTCTCATTCTTGAAAAGACAATTCATATAGTGCTTCAAATTAAGTGCTTCGGTGCCCACAATCCCAGTACACTTCCTTGTGCAGTGCTTGCTCACCTTATTACTTGACCTATATATATATAATAGGTAATTCACACTTTGTTCGATGAATACTGCAGCTCCACTTCCAGCTGTTAACAGCTACTTCCCCCGTATTGTCTCTTTAAGACACTAGGTCCATCCACCTCCAGTTCAGGTAGGGCTTTTTAGTGTTTTTTCTTTCCATAAATCAAATTGTATTCACTTGCAATGTGCCTTCAAATTTGCTAGAAAATTTGACTATTCCTGGAAGACTGCACACCAAGCTCCTCTGCCCTTCGGTGGCTAAATGCCTGCTTAAGTTCACAGAAATTATGGCTTGTTCAAACAGGTTTTTCTAATTTAAACCTGTATGCCATTTCCCTCATTGGTGTCCAAAAAAGACACAACATTTTTTTGGGGAATGCAGAGAATTATGTTAACATACTGTATATTCTTCTATGAATAGATATAAGTACCTTAAGTTGAATTGTGATGGCCCAGAGAAGAGATTCCCTTGACTAGAGATTGCAACTTGAGTCCTGAGATGTTTAAAGTTCCTGATATGGTAGCATCCGCTGTATTCTGTTAGCAGTGGTGAGGGCCCATAGACATTAGTGAATACTGGTAATTCAATTACATTAAACAGATAGACTGAGGTACTGCTCAAAGCAACGCTCTCCTAGTACTGAGGTGTAAATGTGTCTGCATGAAGGGTCTTTAGAGTGATGACAGAAAGAGGTTGGGCATCCTCCCGCTCACCAATCCTATGTACAACACGGCCTCCTTGGAACAGAATTTTTGCTCAGGCTCTTAGCTACTTGCTGGGATGTGCGGTATTACAGCCTAATGGCCTGTCAGCACAGTGAGCAGAGGTGTCTGCGTGAAGAATGGACAATGACAGTCCCAATGCAGAGGCCCGGAGTGGCAATCGGTGTCACCGCTGCACTGAACTGATTGCAGAGTCCAATAGTAGTAGGCCAGCAATCTGTCTCTGGAGGAGAATAGCAATTCCCCTGTGTTTAGCTCTGAATCCCATGCCAAGAGAGAGAGCCAGTCTGTAGAATATATCTGCTTTCCCTGCATTCTCCTCATTTGCCAGCTCTCTGGTAGCTGTAGTTTCGTCAGCACTCAGGAATACAGGATGTATTGGCTATAGGACTACAGGTCTCAAGATCCTTTGCTGTCAGAAAAACTGAACCCAGTCTGCTAACATGAAGTGATGTAGCAGTCCCGTACTGGGAACTGGGGGAAAAGGATTAAACATAGTCTCATCTGTAAATGTCCCAGAATGGCATAATGTTATAGTTGGCACCTGGCTACACATATATTCCAGTTTATGCTCACATAAAATATACATTATATTTCTATATCCATTCCATCCAAATGCTTTCAAAGACATTTGCATACAGTCCCATTGTTGGAAAAAGCACATTCCATATCTCAATGCATTTTGTGAACGGGCGGACTGACCATTTGGAAACTCGGGCACTGCCCGAGGGCCCGGGGTCAGTAGGGGGCCCCATGAGATGCCCCTGGTATCTTTTTCATAGGCTTTTTTGAATTTGGGCAAGGACCCATGGGCTCCATGATCCCCTATTGCCCAAGGGCCCCATGAGTTGTCAGTCCGCCCCTGTTTGTGAACATAAATTCACTTCCTCAGAAGTGGATGCTACTAACAAGAGGGGAGTCCCAAGACCCAAAGAAACAAGTACCGTATTTTTCGCTCCATAAGACGCACCTGACCATAAGACGCACCTAGGTTTTAGAGGCAGAAATGGACTGCAGGCATAGTACAGGAGATGACCAGAGACTGCGGACAGTACAGGGATGACCAGAGACTGCGGATGTAGTACAGGGGGTGACCAGAGACTGCGGACAGTACAGGAGATGACCAGAGACTGCGGACAGTACAGGAGATGACCAGAGACTGCGGACAGTACAGGAGATGACCAGAGACTGCGGACAGTACAGGAGATGACCAGAGACTGCAGACAGTACAGGAGATGACCAGAGACTGCAGACAGTACAGGAGATGACCAGAGACTGCAGACAGTACAGGAGATGACCAGAGACTGCAGACAGTACAGGAGATGACCAGAGACTGCAGACAGTACAGGAGATGACCAGAGACTGCGGACACAGTACAGGAGATAACTGCTGACCTTTGGGGAGGGGGGGGAGCGGGTACCTGAATTTGACAGGTACCCGGTCTTACTTCCGCGGAGTTGTTCTTTGATCTTACCTGTTCCTCTATCCAGCCGCGCGCTGTCTACCCGGCTTTTGTATTGTGGGTGCTCGGCGGACAGCCGGATGCCCAGTGCGCATGAGCGAGAAGCGCTGCGCTTTGTGATTGGTCCGGCAGCTTCTGGGATCTGTCATGTGTCCCAGGTACCGCCTTACCATTCACAAAGAGCACCGCTTCTTGCGCATGCGCACTTGGCACCCGGCTGTCACGCACACTACAGAAGCCGGGAAGACAGCGCGCCGCTGGATAGAGGAACAGGTAAGGTCCCACTGCAGAGCTGAGCGGCCCGGTATTCTGACACGGCGGCAGTGGAAATACCGGACCGGCCGCTCCATATTCACTCCATAAGACGCACTGACATTTCCCCCCTTTTTTTGGGGGAAAAAAGTGCGTCTTATGGAGCGAAAAATATGGGTATTTATTTTTTGCTGTGGTGCAAAAACTGTATTCTATCTTTATTGTTGGTTTCAAAAAAACACACTGGTATTTTTTTCCAATGCTAAATGTTTGCTCAATCTCTCAGAAATTGCAGTGTGTCCAAAAAGGCTTTCTAGCTCAGCTGTGGTGCAAACCAACCTGTATGCTGTATCCATTGTCAGTGTGCAAAAAAAGAAGCTAATATAATCTTATTCTTTTTTTATGAATGTTAAATGTCTGCTCAAGCTCTCAGAAATTGCAACACGCTATTCAGCTGGTGCAACAACATGTGTGCTACTTCCTATATCAGTGCCCACATTTAATTTTTATATATATATATATATACCTGTTTAACCACCTCTCACACGGCCTGTTATAATAAAAGGGATGAGCAGGAGCACCACTATCCTGAGTGGACATCTTATGATGTCCTCCAGACATGCACCTCATGTGCAGCCTAGAGGCTGTGCAGCAGACTGATCTGTCACCAAAGCACAGCAGAAGACAGATCATTGTACCGTGCCAGCCCTGCTATCATGTGATCTCTGTGACCTATCACAGCGATCGCTTTTCAATTGTACATAATGGCTTTCATTCATAGCCTTTCATTGTGCACTATTGTGATCTTTGGGATTGGTCAGATGGTACAAACAGTCAGTTACAATACACCTGTACCAAGTGATAGCTGTGGCCAATTGTTGCTCACAGTTGTACACAATGGCACTTGAATGGATGCCATTCATAAAAATGATTGCGTATAACCTGATCATTGCTTTAATAAGCAATCATACTGTAAAAAAAAAATTGTGATCACCTCCCCAGAGCAGTGCAGTCACTATGGTGCTAAGTGACACTGTACTACTCTGATCACAGTATAAACGAAAGAAAAAAAAAAGATGTTAATAATTTGGATTTTTTTAACATACTGCCACCAGTCAGTGTCTCTGATTACCACCACACCAGTCATATGATGACACTGTACTGGTTTGGTGACAGTATGTAAAAACAAAATTGTTAATAAAAAAATGTGATCGGGCATGGTGACCGCTGAACATTATGGCCGCATAAGAAAGGAGTTCTGCTCAGACACTGGGGATTAACTATATCACATAAGCCTCCTATTCATCAGACTCGCCCTAACACCCATACCACCTAACGTTATGCCCAGATGGAGAGAGCAGCCCAAGCCACAGAAAATTGTCATGCACCCATGCTGAGAAGGTTTTTCCAAGATTGCAACGAGACCAACCAAACACTGCTGACTGCTCACACTCACAGGAGGGCTCTTCCAAAATGACTCTCTGGAGCCCAGCAAGGCCCAGACCATGGCGGGATTCCACTGAGGATACTGAGGTAAACAATGATCACTATCAACAACATATAGACACATGATATACTGATCCTATTGCCACATTTTCCACCTCAGGTCAGCCTGTATCTGATACTACTATGAAAGAGATGCTACTTTCACTGAAGGCCTCATTGCAGGCAAATTTGCTGCCTCTTTCAATACGTTGGTGGATGCCCATACTGCACAGAAAGAGGATGCTTCCTGGCATAAGGCTAAAATCGTGGACCTAGAGGACAGGTCATGATGAAACAACCTCAAAATCCGAGGTATTCCAAAATCCATTCAGCCTTTCCTACTACCACACCATGTCCTTTGAACTTTTCGGCGATCCCATTTCTCACATCTGTGGATCTCACCATAGATAGGACTCATTGGGTGCCAAAACCCAACATACCTTTCATCTAATGTGCCACACAATGTTCTATACATGTTTACTTTTTTTAAAGAAAAACTGATAAATGCTTCTGGATTTCTCTCGGTACATGCTGCAAAGATGAAGGAATCTCCAAACTATTACCAAAGCTGAAAAAAAAAAAAAAAAACAGGAAATACAAGATGGTGTATATAAGTGGAAATACTTGGCTACCCTTCTCATGACACATCGAGGTACCACAACAATGATTACCAAGCTAGAAGAGGTCCTTCTGCTTCTCAAGCATTGGAATAACCTTTTGGCTCTTCATCCAGTTCTGCTGCATCCACATCTGCTACCCCTTTGTCTATTGACGAGTTACTTATGCTCTTCTACCAATCCCTGGAGAAAATTTAAAATAAATGTACCATACTGTTATTCTTCTTTTCCTGATTTGAATTGTAATGTTCACTGCTCTTGGTTCTACACTTAAGGACCTACCCTTTTTAGTGTACTAACTTTGTTTACTAGTTTTGTTCTTCATGGCTGGTCCCTGTTTTTTTACATACCATCTATTTCTGGACTAGTTACTACATTAGTCTTTACAACCATCAGGACCCCATGTTGCACCCGTCCATAATGGCACCTATTCAGCCATCTATACTACCTGCTGGTCCTTACCTACAGCATTGTTTGAATAATTACCAACACACAGTGAAGCAATACCTTAGGTGATCCCTCATTTTTCATCTCTACACTTCATCACTACACATCACATCCCTACATCATTTTCTGGCTCATTCATCATTGGTCTTAAACTACTCTCAATTTTTGCCCGGGGCCTTAACCATCCAGCCAAACATTATTCTATGTGGCAAGAAGCCACCCGTCACAAAGCTGACATTCTTGCTGTCCAAGAAACTCATTTTTATTATGACTCTACCCTGAAATGCAGTCACAGGAACTACCCACATGTTTTTCTGGCCTCAATGTCCATGAGGAAGAGAGGAATTCTGCTTGCTATCAGAGACTCATTATCCTTTGATTGAAAAGACTCTATTCTTGATCCAGAGGGTAGATTTATAATATTAATATGCAATATCAATGATATGCCTTACATGCTGGTTTTGGTTTATGCACCAAATTTGCACCAATTGAGATTTTTCTCTGGAAAATGTTTTTAAGAATCTCTAAGGTGCGATATGGAAATCTTGTTTTACATAGAGACTTTACTTTAGTAATACATTCCAATCTTGGTTTTACCTCCTTGGTAAGGAGCTGCAATCCTTCCTTACATGACCTATTACACAAGGAGGATGGCTATGATATATGTTGTTGTCTGCACGCTAATGAAATTAATTTTTCATTTTCTACTTTTCCAGACACCACTCATATTTCTCATTGATTTGTTTATTGTTGATACAAGTTGTTGTTATAGCGGGAGTTTCATTCCTTTATCTTTGATAACACCTGGTCAGGCACTGTTATCCCTATCACTGAGGAGAAGAGGGACTCCTGCTCTCCTGTGTATCTATGGTGATGTAATAATTTTGTTATGCAATCTCCAAACTCTCAACAGGTGCTCAATCAGCATATCCGAGATTACTTTAAGGACAATGCCTCCCCTGATATAGGGCATTTACACTGTGGAACTCCCATAAGGCGTACATGCATGGTATACTCATCCAACTGAGCTTTAGAGCCATAAAAACAGTATACTTCTCAGCACAATCTCCTATAATAAATTCACACTTTAGCTTCATCCCTGCTAAATTGCAGAATGATTTCAGTGGGTTGTCATGTGAACAGTATACTTAAGCCACCTTAAACTTCTACACCAACAATAACAAAGCAGGTAAATTCCTGGCAGTCAGAATAAAGGTGCAGAAGGCTAAAGCAAAAATATCATATTTATTACATTCGTTTACCAAACACAAGCTCACAAACCCACAAAATATAGCAGATGCCTTTGCAGATTACTATGGCTCACTTTACAATTTAAAAGATGATGCTTTCACACCTCAACCCTATGACACAGATATTCAATCTCTTTTTACCTATTTTCAGCTCCCCACCCTCTCTGCCTCCCAACTTATGGACCCAAACTCTCTTTTTACTTCCTTTGAAGTAAGTAAGACTATAGGTTCATTACCAAATGGTAAATCATCACCAGGCCCAGATGGGTTCTCTAATGTGTACTACAAAATCTTTAAGTCCCTTTTGGCACATATTGTCACACTTCCCAGCTAGCAAAGATCCTAATACCTCAACTAGCTTCCGTCCCATTTCCTTATTGAACTCTGATTTAAAAATGTATGCCAAACTGACGGCTAGGCAATTGCTAGATATTATCTCTGCACTAGTCAAACCTGACCAGATGGGTTTCCCAATAGGCAGACAGGAATCTGATGCTACAAGACATCCTCAATATCATACACCATGAGACAAGTTGGACACCTCTTGTTCTTCTCTCCATAGATGTGAAGAAGGAATTTGACAGGGTACATTGGTCATATATGGTGTCAACCCTCTCAAAGTTTGGCTTCCAGGGAATGATATTGTCTGTAATAATGGCTTTATATTCACACTCATCCGCTCAAGTCTATATCTCTGGCCTCCTGTCTAATCCATTTAAAATTTCTAATGGTACTCCACAAGTTTGCCCACTCTCCCCGTCTATATTCATCCTAATGATTGAGCCTCTTGCAGAAGCCATCCGATCCCACCCTCCACCACCAAAGGTCAATTTTACCAAATCACTAATCCTAGATTTAGGTGTAC